CACACAGCAGGAAATAGTGCTACTCACTAGCACATGACTGGGCACAGTGTGTATTCAGTCACCATTTGTACCACAGGAGAACAAAGAAATGATGAATGCGGAAGCATTCTCAGGGCTGTAGTGTGATATTCAAATGTGGAGTATTAGGACATTATCATTGGGCACATAGTAGTGTTTGCAGTTCCTGCTTCTCCACGGCCAGAAGTGTATTTGGGTCAATTTGTCATCTAAGAGATACAAGACAAAGCTGAGTACATTACTAGCATCCTCTTTTTTCCAACTATAAAGGGAATGTAGCTTTTTGTTTGGGTTCACCTTCTGGAACTCCTTTTGAGGAACATGATTAAATCAAACTGTAATATGGGTGGTTTTTGTGGTGTTGATAAAAGCGCAGGGAGGGCTCATCAAAAAACCACTACATCTGAGGTTGCTGACTACTCTAAACACTATCTGACTTAGGTCTTCTACAGACACAAAATGAGTGTGTTATTAGCAGTATGACTTACGGAAGCAAATTTACAACGGAAATACAAGGAAAAATGTAGTTTTAAAAGGCCAAACTCATTTTGTATACCTATGTTCCTAGAATAAATATGTAGGAATAGTAGGATATCTTATTATCCATTCCATATATTTTAATATGAAACCTCTATATTATTGTTTTTATTTATTATTGATAGAGAGTGAGAGAATACCACAGCAGTGTTCAACATAAACATGACAAGGCACAGCCTCTGCCTCTGGGGACGTATAATCAAAGACAAATGTAAACAGGATTGCCCCCAGCCCAAACCAGGCTACTTGGTCCTTCCCACCATATTGAATGGGATATGACTAGGATAAAGCAAGCTCTCCCTGCTAAGATCTGATCTTGTTCAACATCAGTGATGTAACCACTGAATAGTTTGGTCTTATTAACCATTAAGTCCAGGCAAAGTTAGGCTCAAGATACAACCCAAGATTGAAAAGGAAGAACACTACTGAGATATGGACTGTCCTTATAAATAATAAGTCCTCTTCACAAAAGTAGGAAATAGTTACTAAGTTAATAATTAAAGGAAAATAAAACTTCTTCACAGAGATGAAACTAAACTAAATCTGTCTGACCGAACAATTAAACATTTTGATAAACCTATCTAGCTTCTAACACTGTGCATAGCACCTATTAGGCACCCAAGCAATACTCATTTTTCTTTCCACAAACTATCTTTATCCATTTAAACATATCCTTCTTGTTTCTACTACTTCAGAGAAGAAATAATAATCCAGAGAGCGGAATTATGGGGTAAAATCATAAGGATCCCCCTAGTAGGGATGAGGACTGAGAGGGGAATGGAGTTAGCAAAACTGTGCTCTACCTTCTAGGGCAGCGTCGTCTTGGGCATTTAGTAGATGCTCAATAAATACGGACGGATGGAGAGCCACACCTCTCCACACTAACAAATATAAGAAATTACATTATATTCAGGCTTTTTTATAAACCATACTCCCATGGAAAGTAATCTCCCCCTTATTCTGGTAAAAGAAGATCTGAGGTAGAAAAGACAGAGGCTGCACTTTCCTTAGAAGAAAACTGAGATTAGCCAGCACTTCCTATGAAAATGGACGAAGACCCTATGGAATTGTTTCACTATTCCACTCTAAGTTTTATAGCTGGATCCCCCACTCCCTACCACTCATGCGCAATCATCTGAAACTACATATTGAATCTAACAGGAGAAGTTGAACAGGGTCCTATTGAAACAGAGTCCTAAATTAGAGTTAAAACCCACAAGCAAAATAAAACTGGTGGAGGTTTGCCAGGTCACGAATGTGAGTGACCTCAGCCCCATGCTTCCTCTTCAGCTGCTTTGCTCATTTTAGTCTCCTTTTTCTTCGAGTTCCATAACCAATTTGGTGTCTTTCATCTGGAGCCTGAGAAATTGCTGGCCTTGAAACTATAAAACCAAATTACTGAGCTGAATTGAACAGAATTAAAAGTTTTTTGAGAGGTCTTCTATGTCCTTCTACACTAAAGTGTGTATATGGTGGAGTATCTACATCATTGTGAATATAAAGGGAAGTTAACTAATAAACCAAGTAGTGTCAGGCAATGGAAGGGAGAAAAAAAATTGTCTACAGGGGATGAAGGGGCCCTCTGTGAAAGAGGAGACTTAAGATAAAGTTTGAAAAGGTCAGATGGAAAAAAAAAAGGAGCAGATAGAAAGCATGATCTTGGGGGATTTCACAGGTTTCCAGCTCCACTAAATGGTTATTACGGCCTGCAGCACATTTTATCAGGAAAGGGACTAGATGAGGGGCAGCAAGAAAAAGTAAAAAAGAGTTTGTTCAGTGAGGATAATTTGAAGGTTCTCATGACACATCTTCAGACCCAGACTGAGTATCGCCTAGTGAATAATAAAATTTAGACCTTTCACCCAAATAAAGGGAATGTCCCACGTTACATAATCAGGTCGTAGATTGTAGAAGAGCCCCATGTGTAAACGTGTGTGCATGTGTGTGTGGATGTGTGTGTTTACTGGGCTCTCCATAAGTTACCAGTTGCACATATTAATCAAAGAGCACTACCCTCCATCTACTTTTCTATTACCTGTCTGACTTTGTGCCAATTTCCTTTCTCCTCCCCAACACCCCTTGCTTCTCTGTTCTTCTTTAAGGCATGGGATGGGGATTTGTCAAAGTCAATGAGCACTTTATTACAGTGAGAACGCTCCATAATGAACAATTCAGCAATTTAATGAGATTCTGTAGATCTGTCTCCAGCCTGTCCATCAAGTTTCACTTCTATAAAGCACGCTGACACTAATCCGCTGGCATACCCAATCTTCACCTTGGGCTGAATATTAGATTCTTCCATGGTATATTGCATTACTAGTATCACCTCAGCAAAAATGATGAACTTAACTATACTTGAGGCAATATAGCTGGTCTGATTTGATTTTCCTCTATTGGGTTGAGTATGAGGGAATTACTTATTTACTAAGATAAACAAAAACAGTTTCTTATTGCCTGTTGAATGCCCAAAATGATCATATTTATGTGAGTCTTTTTAATTCTTTCTTGAGGACCAGGTATAAANGATAAACAAAAACAGTTTCTTATTGCCTGTTGAATGCCCAAAATGATCATATTTATGTGAGTCTTTTTAATTCTTTCTTGAGGACCAGGTATATATATATATATATATATATATATATATATATATATATATATATATATATATATATATATATATATATTGCCTGCAGCAGAAAGCAGTTTTTAAAATTCTACATTATAATATTAGTAACCTTTTAGAGAGGCAATTACGATAACTCTAACTGGACAGTGGGGAATTTTTTGGACACTCAGACATTTGCACATTACCACATCCATTTCTGGCATTGCCTTCAGCCGTGCCACAAAAAGAGATAGAAGCTACTAGGATCATTCACTTAGATCTCAATTCAGTTATAAACAATTAAATGCATTCCAAGCCTTTCTTTTTCCCTCTGGGAAGTGAAGGAAAATTTGGGAATTTCCGACTTTGAATTAACCAGAAAATTTTAATGATTTGTGCTTACAAGGAAAACCACAGATAATTAAAATTCATACCCAACTCATTTTCACCAACACTTTGACCTCTGCCTGAAGAAACGTTATGAGAAACACCTAAGAAGCAGGGAAAAAAAAATTGAGGGCTTGTTTTTTATTCCTTATATTTTCTTTATCAAGGCAGTGTGATGATGGCAGGTGTCAGTAGACTTGGATTTGAAGGCTGGTTCTGCTCTATAGCCTGAGCAAGACGCTCCAGCCTCATTTTGTTCATCTGGTAGGTGGGGTGATAACAGCCATCCTTTAGGCCTATTGTGATAAGTCAATATGTTTGCAAAGAGCCTGGCTCCTGCAAGGCCCTCAGTACACATAGCTCTCATTACCCTCAGTGGTGCAAGCAACAGTGAAGACGGAAGTTGCTGATTGAAGTAATACAAAGAAAGAAGGGAGGAAGACATCAGGAAAATTATCCACCAGCAGGGTCAGATGCTGAATCATTAACGGCTACTTCTGACTGCTTTGGCCAGAATTATAGAGTATTCTCTGAATGTCCTTTTATAAGATACCAGGAATTCACTGCCTTATCAGCTAATAGAAGACTTCCTATTTTCCCTTGTATTCTGTATACAAATATTTTTCAAATAATCATGAAATCTTGAAGGTATGATGATGCCCTGGACTAGAGTAACAATATGGCTAGCCAGTGCTTCAGAGAGTAAGACAGTGTAAGACGAAGGGGTAAAGAAGGTCTCTGTTTCCCAAAGACACCATGTGGATTGTTCAGGCAGTCACTGCAGATGAGCGGGAAAAGGATTTAAATTGAATAATCAACTTGAAAACACAAAACATCCTCCTGTCCCCTAGACAAAGACTATTCAAAAAGAAAGCTATGTCAGGCGAAAAGGCAGGGCTTAGGAAAGTAGCGATGAATGCAAAATGAAGTAAGGGGGGGGTGGATTTTTTCAATTCAAGTGCGAAAAGAGCTTCGTTTCATTTAAGATCTCAGCTGCTCTCTGCTACAACGAAAAAATATTTCTGAATTGTTTACAGGAAAGCCCAGAATTCATTCTGATTCCATTTGGTCTTAAATCTGCATAAATAGCCCTTGACAATCCATTCTCCTCATATTCAGTTTAAGACACTATTTTTATTGGGAGATGATAGAAAAACAAAAACCAAAAAAAAAACAACCCTTGACTCTGTCTGATGTAACCCTTTTAGGGTTTTGGGAAACCGTAGCGAGGGTCTAAGGAATCTCCCCTGCGAATACCTGAGTTAAGCTGAGTGGGCTAAGGCCTCCAAGCCTCACGGGCTGGTGTTCTCCAATCACTTGGCCATCAAGGGAGCATGACTTCAAGTCCGATGAGGACCAAACCAAAATACTTGTCATTGTTCCTCCATCCTTTAACTTACAATCATTTTCTGCCCTCTCCACACCATAAGAGACCCATGCAGAGTGGCCTTACCTGCCAGATCTGCTCTTCACTCAGGGAGGTCAGGCGGTCGCTCTTCAGGACCTCCTGAAGCAGACAATAAGGGAGCGTTAGAACGTCTTCGGGGCGACTCTTCAGGAGTTCAGAGAGATGTCTCACTAAGAAATCGATCACTGCCTTCTCCAACAAAGTGAGGTTAAAGAGGTCAGCAAGTCTGTACAGATCCAAGTAATTAAAGCTATTTAATTCCTGGGTGCCAAAAAATAAAAATGGGGGAAAAAAAAAGATCTCTTAGAAACCAATCCAAGAAAGAGCAAGCAAGAAATTCAGACTGACTCACTAAGGTTTGCATGGCAGGAGTGGGACAAATGGGCCTGCACTCAATTGAGAATGTTTATAAAAACTCTCAATTATAAGGCTCTGGACAAAGAACTGGCACTCTAGAATTCATCTTTTCTCCTCAAATAGCCCCTCTTAAAACCCATATATTTAAGCATCTTTTTTTTTTATTCCCCTTCCCCTTCCCCCCTTTTCAATTTCTCAATTACAGTTGACATTCAAAATTATTTTATATTAATTTCAGGTGTACAGCATAGTGGTTAGACATCCGTATAATTTAAGAAGTGATCCTCCTGGCTAGCTTACTACCTACCTGGCACTATACATAGTTATTACTACATGGTTGTCCATATTCCCTATGTTTTACTTTACATCCCATGACCAGTTTGTAACTACCAATTTGTATTTCTTAATCCCTTCACCTTTTTGATCCTGCCCCCAACCCATCTATCACCCCAATAAATCTAGTACCCATCTGATACCATACATGGTTATCACAATATTATTGACTATATTCCTTATGCTATACCCTACATCCCCATGACTACTTTGTAACAACCAATTTGTACTTCTTAACCATTTTCACCCACCTCCCAACCCCCTTCCTATCTGGCAACTATCAAAATGTTCTCTGCATCTATGAATTTATTTTTTGTTTTGTTTGTTTATTTTGTTCTTTAGATTCTACTTATAAGTGAAATCATATGATATTTGTCTTTCTCTGTCTGTCTTACTACATTCAGCACACCACCATCTAGATCCATCCAAGCTGTTGCAGATGGCAAGGTTTCATTCTTTTCTTATGGCTGAGTAACCTTCCATTGTATATATGTAGCACCTCTTCTTTATCCATTCATCCATTCAGGGACACCCAAGTTGCTTCATATCTTGGCTATTGTAAACAATGCTGCAATGAACACATGGATGCAAATGTCCCTTTGAAGTAGTGTTTTGGGTTTCTTTGGATAAATACCCAAAAGTGGGATTACTGGGTCCTTCTTTGTCTCTTATTATAGTCTGTGTTTTAAAGACTATTTTGTCTGGTATAAGTATTGCTACCCCAGCTTTTGTTTTGTTTTGTTTCCATTTTCATGAAATCTTTTTCCATCCCTTTACTTTCAGTCTGTTTATCTTTTGATCTGAAGTGAGTCTCTTGTAGACAGCATATGCATGGGTCTTGTTTTCTTATCCATTCAGCTACCCTATGTCTTCTGATTGGAGCATTTAATCCATATACATGTAAAGTAATTATTGATACATAGACATGTAGTTGTTGCCATTTTATTATTCATATTTTTTATTTTTCTTCCATCTTAAAGAAGCCCTTCTAACACTCCTTGCAATACTGACTTGGTGGTAATGAACTCCGTTAGCTTTTTCTTATCTGGTAAGCTCTTTATCTGTCCTTCAATTCTAAATGATACCTTTGCTGAGTGGAGTAATCTTGGTTGTAGGTCCCTGCTTTTCATCACTTTCAATATTTCATGACAATCCCTTCTGGCTTGTAAAGTTTCTGTTGAGAAATCAGCTTATAGTTTTATGGAAGCTCCTTTGTAGGTAACTGCTTTTCTCTGGCTGCTTTTAAGGTTCTTTGCTTGTTTTTAACTTTTGGCATTTTAATTATGATGTGTCTTGATGTGGGCTTCTTTGGGTTTATCTAGTGTGTGCTTTAGGGGCTTGACCATCCATTTCCTTTGCCGGGTTAGGTAATTTTTCTGTTATTATTTCTTCAAATAGATTTGATTTTTTTTTTTTTTAGTTGAGCCATCCTGCTACCTATTAGCAGCTCAGCAGCAACTCAACTCAGGAATCCAACCAGCGACCCTGTTGCTCAGAGCTCACACTCTTGAGCGAGCTCTTAACCAGCTGAGCCACTCGGCTGGCCCTCTTCAAATAGATTTTCAATTCCTTGCTCTCTCTCTTTTCCCAGTACTCCGATACAAATGTTGATATGCTTGATGTTGTCCCAGTGACCCCTTAAACTGATCTCATTTTTTTGAGGGGGTGGGGGAATTCTTTTTTCTTTTTGCTGCTCTGATTGGGTGTCTTCTGCTACCTCATCTTATAAATTGATAACTCAATCCTCTGCTTCATTTAACCTACTATTGATTCCTTTTAATGTATTCATTTCAGTTATTATATTCTTTATTTCTAATTGATTCTGTTTTATGCTTTCTATCTCCATTTTTATGTTTCCTAACTCTTTGTCGAAGTTCTTCCTGAGATTACTGAACATCCTTATAACCAGTGTTTTGAACTCTGCACCTGGTAGGTTGCTTGTCTCCATTTTGTTTAGTTGTTTTTCTGGAGCTTTGTCCTATTCTTTCATTTGGGATATGTCTCTTTGTCTCCCCAGTTTGGCTGCCTCCCTGTGCTTGTTTCTATGTACTAGGTAGGGCTGCTATGTTTCCTGGTCTTAGTAGAGTGGCCTTATGTAGTAAGTGTTCTGTGGGGCCCAGTGGCACAGTCTCCCTGGTCACCAGAGCCAGGTGCTCCAGGTGTGTCCCTTGTGTGGGTTGTGTGTGCCTTCCTGTTGTAGTTGAGACTTGGATGCTGTTTGCATGTCAATGGAAGGGATTGACCCTCAGGCTGATTGGTTGTGAGGAGTGGCCTCAACTGCACTAAAGAAGCTGCTGTGCAGGGGCTGACCCTACAGAGCAGGATTCACATTAGCAGGGTTCTGGTGCCTGCCCAGTCTGCCCTTTGGGTGTGTCATCCTTGGAGGCAGCCGGGTGATGCTCCAGCTCTGTGCAAAGCTGGCCACTGGACGTGCTAACCCTGGGGCCTCCTGGGAGGGGATCCGCTGCAGGCTAAGTTCAGCCACAGCCTGTGCCCTGCCTGGGACCACCTGGCATGTGTCACAAAGCAAACAGCAGATGGCCACTGCCCACACTATGCTTGCATATGCCTGGAGAGGCCAAGATGGGAACAAAAGCTGGCCGCCACTAGTGCCATGCTTAGGGCTGCTCAGCCTGGATACGTTGAACCCAGATGCTGCTTGTTTGGGTTTTGTGAACCTTTGAGAGATTTTAGAAAAGCCTGTAACATGAGCCAAGGCAGGCCATTTATACGGAAAAGCCACTGGAAGCAGCTTAGGTGTTTCTGAGAGTTGGGTGGGGTGGGGTTTCAAAATCACCAGAGCTGTGCAAATAAACAGTATTAGCCAGGTTCATGAAGACTCAGACATGGCCGCCACCTGTGTTTGCATGCCAGGAGTGGGGTGGGCTCAACAAGGAAACAATGGCTTCCACCAGCTCCTTTGTCCAGAAGAAAGCTGCCCCTGCAGCTCTTGCTCTGAAGTCAGACAACTCAGTTCCTCCCCATATGTCCCTGGTGCTTTTCGAGCTACTGTCCCAGCACTGGAGCATGGAGTAAGAGAGTCCATCAGTGAGTAAGTCTGTGCATGAGCCCTTTAAGAGAAGCTGCCCTCCATCTCATTCACCCACAATCTCCACTGGCTTTCACAACCAGTAGTTCTGGGGACTTCTCTCCCAGCACTGGAACTCTGAGATGGGGAGCCTGATGTTGGGCTGGGACCCCTCACTCCTCCAGGAGAGACCTCCACAGCCAAGATATCCTGCCTGATTTTTAATGGTCACATGTGGGTGTGGGACCAGCCCATTCCATCTCTCTGTCCCTCCTACCAGTCTCAAGGCGGCTTTTTCTGTAAGTCCTTAGTTGTAGAGCTTTGGGTTCAGCTAGACTCCAGGCGATTCTCAATGATGGTTGTTCTGTAGTTTAGTTAGAATTTTGATACGGTTGTGAGAAGAGGTTATAAGCACAGCATTTACCTACTCTGCCTTCTTGACCAGAAAAAAAAACAAACGATTTAGATATCTTAATAAAGGAATTGAAAGGGGTTTCTGGTTCACTGATTGAAATGTTACTTTGCAAAGTTTTAGAAACATTTTACCATTGAAGACCATCTCTCTACCCTTACTATATTTTATAGCTCTAAGATAATAAGCTTTTTCTACTAAATATGGGAGGGCAGGTGAAGTGAGAGTCATGAGTAGATGACACAAACTATATGAAGATAGACTAACTCTACTCTTTTTACAAAACTTCAAATTATGTACATTTTTGAGTAAAACCAATCCATCATGACTTAATGAAATTAAAACATAGATTTTTTACACACAAGGTCTCAGGAAATGAAATCTTACAGAAATGATTCCTGTCCTGAATAATTCTATATTGAATCTACCTAAGAAGAACGATTTATAATTGTTGTTTGTTTTTTATTAGACTCAAAAATTGTGACAACCAATGGCAATCCTTCCCTCCTTTTCAAAGAGTTTCTGTAACCATGTTTCATTTGGGGGGAATTTTGCTTGTCTATACAAATTATCAAACTCATACCCAGGGCTCTAAAATAATGTCCCCAAAAAGCCATGACTCCTGTGGCACTCTGCAAGAATTAGAGTAAGCACGCAAGTTTGTTGATGGAAAATTTACTTATTTCAAGCAGAATGAGAGTGGGCTGTGTCCTAGTTCCCTCTTATTTTAACTTGTAATTATTAAATGTGAGCAATATCTTCCAATAACTTAAGGAATGCAGAATACAATACCATCAGATAGCTATTTTAATCCACTGATCTATTTCAGTAATTTTCAACATAATTTCCCCTTTTTCTAGTTATCTAAAAGTATTAAGAACTCTTTCAAAAATATTTCTGTTCTATTTTAATGTATTTGTCTCACTGATATTTGGAAGTTCAAAGGAATATGTTCTAAATCTGTGCTGTCCAACATGGTAGCCACTAGCTACATGTGGCTGTTGAGTACTTGAAATGTGAGATGTGCTGTGTTAAATGTAAACCAAAGGCAAGGAGTAAGAAAAGTAGAATATGAAATGCCTCATTAATAATTTTTATGTTTATTATATGTTGAAATATTATTCTGGATAT